ATATATATATATATAATTTTATCACATCTTTTTATAGAAAAAAAAAATACAGGTAAAACTTCCGTATTTTAACAACTTGTTTTTCTATAAACGAAAATATACCTATCAAGATCAAACTTGTATGAAATTTAGATTTTTGATTTTAATGGCTAAAGGAACATAGTTGATTTTCATTTAGATCAACTAGTATTCAAAGACGCTGTTAATGGCAACACCTGGTTTTCTTTGTACATAAATCATAATGATCTAATCTACTTTCAGTTAATCGCCCGAAGGTTGCACTTCGACCTCAGATGCTGGAAATACCCACATTTACCTTGCAGCAATTATTTTGTCAAATCACTTGTGTGTTCCCTACGCTTTACGGTTGATCTTTTCAGTTTGCTAATTAGTCACGTTACTCCACTTTGGGAAGATGCATTATCTTCATATTATCCAAAACAAACTTGTTTCCTTGTCATCTTTAGTTGTCTCTACCACAGGTTTTAGTTGTGTAGTAAATTTCATAGATATTCATGAGATCAAAAATATCTCTAAATATCTTTTTTTTTTTTTTATAAAAAAAACTTCCTGTTTTGTTATTCGTTATTATTATTTTTTAAGCATAGTCATTTACCTTATAAAAAGGGAGAATAGGAAATGTACAAAATACACAATTAATATACAATTTCCTTTTTTTTTTTTTTCCAACTAGTTTGATTGAGAACATGTTTCGAAGTTTGATGGCAACTCTGACTGCGACATTGGCTCATTGTTCATCTTCTTTTCCTGGGCACAAGAGAATTCTCCCCCGGCTGATTGTTGGAGTTTTCTAGCTTATTCTGTAGCATATCCTCCGAGTCTGAATCAGAGCACACCATTACAATCCCACAGGGTCTGGAAGCAGAAACTGAACCTGAAACGGGTTTCTGGGTGTCTGATATTTTAGATGCTACACTTGGAGTTTCTACAACTACTTTTGACTTCTCACTGTTGCCCAAAAACAAGTGGGATGGAACATTGACTGATGATTTAATCTTTTCTAGCTTGATCTCTTCCTTGCCCTAAGAACCAACCCACAAAGTAGTCTTGAAATAATTGCACAGAAATAGTAGTTCAAATATAAATATAGAAGGAAGTGTAATCGTGCATACATCATTAGATTATTGAGAACGAACAAGTTATATCAGCTATGGTCTCACCAAAAGCTGACGTGCCCGTTTAGATTAGCTTAATTAGGGGTAATTTTTTGTATTTTGGCTTGTTAAGAAAAAATATCCAAAACAATAATACGAATAAGATTTAATTGCACTTTTTAGTCCTCTGAAAATTGTAATGGTATAAAATTTTGGTCTTAGGTTCTACTTGCCAATTGGGATCACTTCAAGCTTTCTCTCATTTACAATCAGGTTTCTCTCCCGATTTCATTTACAAATTGGACATGATATGTCAGCAAGTAAATGCAGTGTACCACTACCGGCTAAAAATCATAGAATATTTTAACTACAATAACCCAAGCTCTGACTCTATTGACCTAATTGTTGTGGTTGCTTGTGGACAAATAATTGTTTTTATGACAATCATGAATAAGAAATGTTTTTCCCTTATGAGCAAAATTAATCACTTAAATAAATAAAAACAGGATGGAAACCTGATTGAAAATGGGGAAAAACTTGGGGGGACCCAATTGGTACAATTAGAACTTAAGAGACCAAAATCCCAATCCTGATACCTTGAGAGCTAAAAATGCAATTAAACATAAAAACAATAATTTCACAGAAATAAGCTTTTAAACATACTAAATTGAAAATGACAGCCAGAAAGGAAAAGCAACCAGTTTACAACCCTATTGCAACAGACACATTCTCTGAAATGTTTATGACAAAAGCTCACCTTTTTATTACGATCACGCTTCCATTCTGAAGCAGAATTGTCCAGCAGTGCAGCATCAAAAGCGCCAGTGGGCATTTTTGTCACCTCTCCATTGGCCTATCAACCAATTAGCTATGATTAGATAGATTGCGAAAACATTGAAATAGCTTCTCTTTTTATCCATGTTGGAATAGCATTGAAATAAATGAGACTTTATGCTTTTACAACCTTCGCTGTAGTGCGTGCAATTACATTTGCATCATCCTTATTCTTCTCTGGAATAGTGAGCCTGACCCTTGGTAGATCTGAAGTGAGACTAACGGATTTAAGTTTTCCTTGTCCATCTTTATCTTGATGCTGAAAAGTTTCCTCCTCCAGGTCAGAAGATAACAGACCAACTTCCGAGATATCAACACGGGTGTCATTCTCAATTCCAATGTTTCCTGTTGTTGCACATCCAACTAGCGTCTGAGGTACTTCAGTTCCATCCTTAACAGGTACTACATTTGACAACTGTATCATGATCGTACACAATTTATCAAGAAGTCAAAAACCAATAACTATAACCAAATAGAAAATCATAAAATATCTACTTAGAAAGTAGATTGGGCACCTAACAGTTAGACAACAACTAATTCCCAGAAAATAAGGAGCAGACAACTTTAAAATGTTCTAAAAGCACTTATAGTGTGTGGATTTGCTTAATTTTAAAAGGATATTTTTTTACAAACTATCACAATAAGATTTTGATAATAAGCTAATTTTAACAAGTAAAAAACCAGTAACTAAAACCATAAAAAAAATCATAAAATATATACTTAGAAAGCAGTTTGGGCACCAAACAATTAGACAAGAATTAATCCCAGAAAATAGGGAGCAGACAATTTTAAAATATTCTAAAAATGGTTAATCAGAATGTGTGTGGATTTGCTTAATTTTATAAGGGATTGTTTTTTACAAACTATCTCAATAAAATTCTGATTATAGGTTATTTTGAACACAAGGAAAAATGATAAAGAGAATAAATACCTATTTGATTAAATGTTAGGAAGTATCAAGGACTAATATCATACATTTTAAAACAAGGTTTAAATACCTATTTGATTCTTATAATTTCATTAACTTTTAGTTTCTATAATTAAAACATTTCATTTTAGTTCCTAAATATATCATTTTTGTTTCCTTTTAGTCCCTTTAGTTTTATGAACTTTACTTTTTAATTCTTATAGAAAATAGACAACAGAAACTAAAAAAAATAATAAAAAAATGGTATGTATAAGAACTAAAATATAATGCTTTTAACTATAGGGACTAAGAAGTAAAGTTTATGAACTATAAGGACCAGATGGGTATTTAAACTTTAAAACAACAAAATTCAGCATTCATAGATTTGATCAGATTTTAAAGACATAATCCACAATTGATTATGGTCAAAGACTTGCATTCTCTTCTTATCTTAGTAAGATAACAGACAGCAGCCAACAGTTTGATGTGGCAAGTCACATTAACCCAGTTCATTTTTTTATCACTAATAATTAAGAATAAGTACAGAAGATAAATTACTTAGAATAGTTCACATTTATTCAAAACAATGCAAGTCACTGCAAAAGTACGAAGCAGACATGACACTGAAAATTCCTGCATCATTCAAGCAAGGTGTCAACTGTCTAACATATTACTTACACTTGCTGCATGTTCTTCTTTCAAACGTAGTGCAGTCTCTTCAAAGGCAGCAGCATTTTGCATAGAATGTCTAACAATGTTGACAATGACATCAAGGCTGCGCTCAACATATGGGAGCTTGGACTTTCCTACAATTCTCCGTAGATTGCTTATAATGACAGGCATCTGCTTAGCTTTGAAATGGGTAAACAAAAACTGAATTGGTGTTTGCCATGCAAAATTACTACTTATTAGACAAAGGACAATATAGAAGTCTACATAAATTTCATTTACCGATTTCAAGAATAATTTTATTAGGCAATACATAGCCAGGACTCTCATCATCTGCACGAGCAAGACCATCACGCCATTCACAAAGTCCCTGTCAGCCATGTACAGTGTATATGAAATATATTAGGTGTGGACCATACAGAAATATAAAGTAGAAGCAATATATGCAACCATTAGTTCAGAAATTAGAAGCTTGACATTTCTAATTTCTTTACAACAATCCTGAAACTATAGCTGGTTCATGCAGTGTCGGATGCTATATTGCATTGTGATTCTAAGAAAAGCTTATATTACGCAATATGCTTGGAAGGCCAATAGTATCTAGGTGGCTGACCAGAACAGTATTACATAAGATAACTATTCAAGGTACTATTGATGGTGGAGTCGTTGAGTCTACAGATAAAAGCATCGTGAAAAAAAAAAGGCAGTTGTTTTATAGAAGATGCAACTGCAAATGTAATAAATAATAATGACAAATGGTAGCCACAACACAGATTTTGGTAGGAAGCTGAAATAATATAGAGATGAACTGAACATGGATACTTCAAAATGTTGGGCTTATTTATATGAAAAGCAAGAGAGAGAGAGAAATCAAAGAAAACCAGAAGGAATTTATCTGACAAGGGAACAACTCCCTTTCCAACTGTAAAACAGTTTATTACAATTGTCCAAAAGAATCCATATTCAGTTTATTGCCAGCATATTTATATGCTTTACTTTCTTACTGTATCTAATTATTAGCTGTCATAACCAATAGCTGGCATAACCAGTCACTACTCAATGATCCCTCTTCCTTCTAGAATAAACTTACAATTGGAACCTCTTCATTCCTAACAATATCCCCCCCCCCCCCACAAAAGTTGCTGAACCCGGTCCTTAAGGTTGAATTGAGGAAATTGCTCATGTCAGAACATTCTCCCAAATAGCTTCCATGAAGGTCATTTCTGCCACTTAACCAGGATCTGAACTACTTGATCATCAGCCCTATGAGCCGTTTGTCTAAAAGTTGTTTTGGAAGAATTTCCTCTGCCTGCATCTGTAACTGCAGGGGTGATGTTTGTTCACCATCATTGTCCAAATGCTTTCTTGAGTTTGGAAACATGAAACATCGGGTGCACTTGAGCCTGATCAGGAATCTGAAGCTAAAAAGCAGTCCTTGTTTGCTTGACCAACGCAAAAAGACACATAGTATCAGGCAGCCAACTTAGAGTATAACAGATGCTGTTAGGATCTTGGATTTGGACTCGGGCCCAACAAATTGGCTAAACAAAAAATTTGTTATAATTGCTGATGTAGCCAGTTAGTTAGAGGAGGAAACACAAATATAGGGAGAGGCATGCCGGCATTGCAAGAGAGAATGGGGGAGTATCATTTGTCATTTAGAACCTTAAGGTTGGGCAAAAAGAGAATCATCTCTTATTTGAGGAGCAATAGCTCGGGGGTTAAGGGGGGGCTTTTTTTTTTTCCCCTGTAATACATCTACTTTACCAATCAATAATATAATTTTCAGTTTCTCTTTAAATTGGAATTTTAATAATTGATCCAACCTGTTTGATTTTCGAGGAAGAGTCACTGTTGCCAAAGATGGAAGACATGTGGACTAAGATGGTGGAGTTGCCAGATTTTTCAAGGACAGACCCTGTTGGGTGTGTTGCCAAAGCTGAAGATTCTTTGAGGGGCAAGAAATCCACTTGTCCCATAAGCTACAATGGGAATTCGTGAGCATGGAGGGTGTAGCCAATGTTTTGGTTTCAAGCTTGGTGGCTTGGTGCTATAAAGGACCTTGATATTAACCGCGATTCGGTTTCCATAGCTATGATAAAAAGGTTTAGCCATGGTAGTAGAATGTTTTATGGATTGACTAACTTGGAACAAGAAGACCTTGGAGAAACTGAATCATCCATGCCATGGTAATCAGAATTGCCATTCAACTCATTCTGACAGGAAAGGCAGCTGAAGGTGGTATGCTTATAGATGTTTAAGTGACATCAAATAATGTGAGAATTCAAGTTTCAGGGTCCTCATGGTCTCTGCCAATGGTGCTCTCAATGAGTTATGATCATTCCAATAATGGACACATATTTCAGAAAAAAGTTTTTCATCATTTATTTACTGGTTTCAGCCTTGACAAAAAGGTTGTTCTTCCTGTGGTAGGTAATGTTAGGATACTGGGTTTAGGCCTAAGCCCAACAAATTGGCTAAATCAAGAATTTGTTACAATTGCTAAGCAGTTAGTTAGAGGATGAAATATAAATATAGGGAGAGGGAATGGCGAGGGGGAATGGGTGAGTATCATTTTTCAGTTAGAACCTCAGGTTGGGCAGCAAGAGAATTATCTCATCTCTGAGGAACAATAGCTCTGGGGTTACAGGAGGCTTCTTTTGTAATACATCTAGTTTTCTGATCAATAATATAATTTTCTGTTTCGCTTTAATTCAGGTTCTTATCAGATGCACAATAGTACCATGCCTGGGGTCGAATTTTGAGCAAAACCAAATCTCCCACTTTGATTTTAGAGGGTCTCCTATGTCTATCAGCAAATTCCATATGGCTTTGAGCATGATATAAATGGTATTTAAGATGCCATACAGCCTCATCTCTCACTGACTCAACAATAACTTCTAGTATGAATCTAGATAATGAATGGAAAGGACCTACTATAAACCATCCCAAATTGGGTGCATTTTGCAAAGGCTTGGAAACTGGTGTTAAACCAGAACCCGGCCAAGTGTAAGAAATCAGCCCACAGCTTGGGTTATTCAAGCTTCGTTAAACCATTATGCAAGCAACTTGTTGAGATCCCCATAGTAGAGCTCCATTTTCTTCAGCTACGTAAGCTGAGTAGTATGCTGCAATGACAACAATTTGAGGAACTCCATAGAAGACTCCAACACCTCCACTCAGCCTCCATAGTCACTACTCACAATGATAGAGGTGTTACAGTGAGTCCAACCTGGTGGGTTAACTTGGCACACCACAAGTCCAGGCTGGGTTAGAAAAATCGTGTACCAATTTTGACTAAATTCCAGCCCAACTCATTTAACCTATGATTCAAGCCAAAGTAAGCTGAGTTAGCTCAGTTAACCCACTAAACTCTAGCTATGTTTATGTTTTATGTTGTTGCCATTTGAAATTTTGATTGATATTTTCTTTTGTATTTTTGCATTTGAATCAATGATAGATCTGATTTCTTGATAGAAAAAATTGTAACTCTTTATTTTATTTATTAAAAACAGGAACGGGTAATTAATTTTTATTTTTTTTTTTTAAAAATTTGGTGAGCCAACCCAAACCCACCTAACCTGCCAATCTGTGGTGGGTCAAGCCGGGTTGGGATTTTCTTGACTCACCAAAAAGTGAGTCGGGTTGGACTGACCCATTTAAAATACCAAGTTACCAACCTGTGGTGAGTCAGTCCGTATGAGCTGGTTTAGGGTTTAAGATTTAGGGTTGACTCACTTTGACATCCCTAAACCCTAAACCCTATATTTAAAAATGGTAGGACAGACTAATTGTTATGTCCTCAAAGATACAAGAAAGATATAGAGAGAAAGAAGGAGACGGGAAAGCAAGGGGGGAAGGCATGAGACATCTTTTCTGTTAGAACCTTGAGAGGTTGAACAAGAAGAGAGTAATCTCTTCTTTAAGGAGCATTTTCTCTGGGATTACAGAAGTCATCTTCTGTTAGGATATAGAATAAAGGGAATTAGAATAGTTATTGTTTTTTTCCTCGTCTTTGCGCTTGTGAAGCTCCTAAATTGCGAACAAACAACTATGGTGAGTCTTCTTAGGCCACCACCCTCCAGCAACCTGAACCATAGTGGCATAAGATCCATAAAGTTTTCCGGCCAACAAATCCGGTGACCCATAATAGGTCTTTTTGTTTTCTGTTTGTTTTTTCTTCTTCCTTCCATTTCTTTATTTTTCTCTGTTTTTTTTTCCCATCTATTTTTCATTTCTTCAGATGTTCATCATCTCTTTCTCTCTCTCTCTCTCTCTCTCTCTTCTCTCTCTCTCTCTCTCTCTTATTTTATGTGATTGTTCTTGTTCTTCATCTGTTCAATGTTTTTGTTCTCAGTTTTTCAAAATTTTGGAATGTAGTTATCTATGTTTTAGAATTTCATAATCATGTTCTGTTATGTTGTTTTCTATATTAAACCTATAACGTTGTTCCCAATTTTGTTTCACTTATAGCACAATGGTAAGCAGTAAGCACCCAACACTAAAGTCATGCATCCTAAAAGTCTGTTTTTTATTTTTGGTTTTGTTTTTAATATATATATATAATTTTTGTCCACCATAAGCTGCCACGCCATCCGCCATATGTTTATGGCGG